TCGTTTCTTTTTCGCCTTTCTCCTGAATTAATTTGAATTCAGAAATTTCCTAAGTGGCATTTTACCTAGATACGCAACTTTGTCTCCATTTGATGGTGGATAGATTAACAGTGACATATTTTGATTAGTTAATCTCACTATTACATGCGCGAATACTGTTTTTTTTGTTTCTTTTTCTATAGAATATCGATGCTTGATTTACCCACAAATTGAAAATTTGAACGGTTACTTACGGGGTAAGAGTGAAAACTGATGAGCTTTGATCGCACAAATGGTTTTCTTTAAAGTAATTATTATAATCGTATGTATTATTTGGTCAAATAATAAACCCCTTTGTCGTTCAATTCATGATCTAGATTGACATTATAATAAACTGAAAAGGCAAAAATCCACATTGTTGTTGAAGTTAATGTCAATTCACCAGCACTGTCTGAACTTTTCTCAAGCAGCTGATAAGCATAAGAAATACTGAAAAAATGCGGGTTCAAACTCCGTCAGGGCCAACTTTTCGTCTCTCTCGATTGTTATTTCTTGAGATCTTTACTATTTCGGTTGCATTCCTCCAAAAATCCCTTACAACCCTATCTGGTAATGGATATAAATGAAGTACCAGTGCCAAGATCGTCACTAAGTCATTGTAATGTCAATGTGCAGATTGAGATTTTCCTCAAACCAATAATGCTTTGGCGCTGGCAGGGGGTCCGTAGCCCTCCCTGAAAATTCGGTTGAACCTTAGCATGATTTTGTGTACAATATTTGTTTGGTCTTCAAAAGGTTTTGAGGGCAGGTACACTTCCACAAAATGATCACCCCTCTTGAGAAAAATCTTTGGGAGCAACCATGTTCGTCTGTATAACGACTCGTATTCGGTGCCGTTTCACCTTTATTAGGAACTGTCAGGACGATACAGGTTATCAAACAACGGATGAAATCCGCACGGGTATTATGTAAAAAACCTAAAAAACTTCAAAAAAAACCTATACAATGTCATCTTGCAGCCTGGGTAGTTTTTAGGGTGCAAAGTCGCTCCACGTTTGCTCACTATGATCGGTGTAATCGTCCATCTATGGAGGAACTACTCAACTAAACTGCACACATTGTTGGTTGCATATGTTTTGTGAAGCCGAGTAAGCTGTAGCTCTTATCTATAAGAAGAAAGTTAGTTGAATAGCAAGATCGCATCTGGATGTCTTGTGTATTGGTCTACATGTGTATAAAACCAGTGATATTTCCTGTGTGAGAAAATCATTACTGAATATGCTGCCAATGAAGTATATGTATTAGCTGTGCCCGACGGGTTATTTGTGTTATGTTCAAAGTTATAAATTACGTACAACTTTGAGGAGAATTAAGGGGAAATCACCACCGCACCAGCGGTGTGTGTAATTACTGTTAGCATGTATATGGCTTGTAATTCGACAGTGTACAGTGAATATAATTATTTCTTATCTCTCTCATTTTTTAAATTCAGCAAATTTGGATATGTAATTAATTGCCAGAATGGATAAGAAAAAGTGAATGCGCAACTAATTTTTAGCTTTGAATCTCAAGTAAGTGTATTTGAGACAAGAATCCAAAGGAAATATCATCAACTCATACAATTTACAGTTTAGACCTCCAGTAATGCCATCTCTGAAGCAGATTTTACATCACATCAGAGCCAAACCTTGATAACTGAAGCCTCATGACGTTTAGGCAACACGTACAACTAAGTGCTAAGTTAACATTTTGTAAAAAACTTTCATAATGCCACAAAAAACCAGTATAATGTCAAAAAATCCACATAATGTCACTTTTCAAGATACGTAACGTAATACCCGTGCCGATTGTTTTATGGCATTAATATAAACAGTTAATGAACTAGGTCACCTGTTAAGACGTTATAAGGGCGAACTCTGATTTTCTCCTCTCCGTCTATGCTTCGAGCATATTTTTTGCCAGAGCTTCCATAAATGCCGCTAGTGCTGTTTTCATGTTGTTATCGCTAATCGCTGTCCAGGCAGCACCCATTCCCTCTTCTCGTTCTCGTTCGCAGGCAAATCGAGTGTAGCATTCAAGGCCGCCAATTTACATTCCAATTTTCCTCTAATTATCAAATTCGGGCGCCTCCACTTGTAAGAGTATCAGGTTTGGTTGGTTCACATCATTCAAGCTTTGATATTTTGCTTATTAGACGAATACATTAATTACGTGACAGATATTATAAAGAAATTTAATGTTTCTCTTTAGCAAAGATTAACCAGATATGTTTTGATTCTCTATACTAAGCGTCAATGACGGAACATTTAAATAATGAGTTTGTTGAACATTTAGTTTATTGTCTGGCCGTTGGTCTGTTTGAAGAAGCCTGACGATATTTTTGCATGGCTTAATATATCTTGGTACATCCAAAGCAAACTACGTTGAGTTTCATATCCAAGGTCAAGGTGAAATAGTGAAATTGTATGTAATAATAATAATAATAATAATAATAATAATAATAACAATTATGCAACAAGAAGGGAGTAATAACGAAATACGCGATAATGGTCAATCTGAGCAAGAACAGATAGAAAGTGAACAGCCTGGAGTTGACGACAGTAATGGTCAAGACACAGAAATATTTGGTATATTAATAACTGAAATGGGTAGAGCATATGCCGAATTTGATGGAACGAACCCGCTAGAAAGACCACCATTACCAAAGTTGAAGTCATCTAGAAAGCTTGCTGTGGTATTGTGTCAGTTAAATAAACAGATCCTGCCAGAGTATCTAGCACACTCCAACTGTATAGAACAACTTCACACACTGATATACTGTGCAGCTGTTGCAACAGTAAGAACACTTGGTGTCAAAATGCCAACTCAAAAGATTACTGAAAATTCAGTAAAACCAATAACACCAAAATGGGAAAAACGTCTGGAAAGAAGAATGGCAGACATTCGCAGAGATATCGGACGTCTTACCCAATTCACACGAGGAATAACAACTCCAAAAGTCCGAAAACAAGCTATGGAAATAATGCAACGACTCCACCATCATTCTCACCAAGACGCAACTAACATCAACGAGTGGCAATGCCTTGATACCTTGAAGCAAAAACTGTCCGTATATACTCAGCGATTGAAAAGGTATAAAGCGTCCAGTCACAGAAAGCACGACAATGCGCTCTTTCAACGATCCGAAAAGGCATTCTACAGGAAACTGTCATACGAACCCCAGGAAAAGAGCAAAACGGTGCCCACAAAGGACCAAGTAGAGGAATTTTGGGGCAAGCAGTTTGGCTCGACAGCTTATTACAACAAGTGTGCAGGATGGATTACAGATGAAGAAGCGAAGAGCCATTATTGCAATCCCATGCAGTATAGGGCATATACCAAACAAGAAATCGTGGATATCGTTAAGCAGTTGCATAATTGGAAGGCCCCGGGCCCAGACCAGATTCATGGCTACTGGATAAAGAAGCTTTGGTGCATGCATGAACAACTAACAAGATATATCAATGACATGCTTTTGAATCCAAATAAGACTCCAACGTTCCTAACACAAGGGCTAACTGTATTAATACCAAAAGATCTCAATAATACAGAAGACCCAGCAAAATACCGCCCAATTACCTGCCTTCCTACGCTATACAAGGTGGTCACTGCTTGTATATCGAAGCGAATTTATGCTCATTGTGAAGAAAACGATATTATTGCGCCACAACAAAAAGGGTGTGCTAAGGGAGCTATGGGATGCAAAGAACAGCTGGCTATCGACTCAGTCATCTGTAACCAAGCCTATACCAACAAAAGGAACCTATACATTACGTACATCGACTATCAGAAGGCATACGATTCTGTACCTCATGAGTGGCTTGTCAGGGTGTTGAGGCTCTATAAGGTAGATGAGCATGTAGTGGCCCTATTAGAACATATGCTGAAGACCTGGAGAACCAGAATAACACTGCATACAAACGGGACCAGCACCATTCAAACTGAGACGATCTCTATCCGAAGAGGTCTCTTTCAGGGTGATTCATTAAGTCCCCTATGGTTTTGCCTAGCTATAAATCCCCTCTCAAACCTCTTAAATGCAACAGGGTATGGATATAGTCTGAAAGGTAACAGGAACGCATCCATAAAACTGAACCACTTGCTGTATATGGACGACCTAAAGGTAATAGCTGCTACTGAGAATCAAATGAAACAGCTGCTAGAGATAGTCGGTCAGTTCTCAGATGACATAAGTATGCGATTTGGGATGGATAAATGCAAAACCTTATCTATACGTAGGGGGAACATCTACCCTGGAGGATTTTCAAGCTGCAGAGGCCAAAACATTGACGCAATGGACGCAAATGACACATACAAGTACCTTGGAATGGCGCAGGCCCGAAGGATAGACCATAAAAAAATGAAGGAAGCTATATCGCAGTCCTTCACAAAAAGAATACGGCTACTTCTGAAAACAGAACTCAATAGTAAGAATCTAGTCAAGGCGATTAACACCTACGCATGCTCTGCCTTGAACTACTCGTTCGGTATAGTTCTGTGGAGTAAAACTGACATCGAGAAACTAGAGAGGCGGGTAAGGACTATGCTAAAAAAAAAAGGAGCGCACCATCCTCGCAGTGCAATAGAGCGCACAACCTTACCCCGACAGTTAGGAGGAAGAGGTCTAATGGACATCAGCAAGCAGCTAGCTCAACAGGTACTCGCCTTGCGATCCTACTTCTTTGAGAAGGCCGAGATCTCTGAGCTGCATCGCATCATATGCTCAATAGATGACACAACGCCCTTACACCTTAGTAGACGAGATGACCAACCGAGTCACCAAACCAACGAACAGAAGCTACAACGATGGATTGAAAAACCTCTACATGGAAGACATGCCAACGAGATTAGCCAAGAAAACGTTGACAAGAAAGCGTCAAACTATTGGCTTACCTCAGGCCAAATGTTCCCTGAGACTGAGGGATTCCTTGTAGCTATACAGGATCAGGTCATCCCTACCAACAATTACAAGAGGTTCATACTTAAGAACTTGCAACAGTCTGATAAATGCAGGTACGGCTGTCAGGACTCCGAAACAATACAGCACGTAACTGGTGGATGCCAAGCATTCGCTCCAACGGACTATAAGGAGCGCCACGACATAGCTGCCAAAATCATTCACCAGGAGTTGGCATACAAATTCAAACTGATCGAATGCAAGCTACAGTACTACAAATATACACCGCAATGTGTCCTCGAGAACGACAAGTATAAACTATACTGGGATCGCACTGTGCTTACGGACCAATACATAAAACAAAACAGACCTGACATAATCATTGTCGACAAGGGCGCCCAGAAAGTAACTCTGATTGATGTGGCCATACCTAATAGTAACAATTTAACATACAAGCATAATGAGAAAGTTGCAAAATACAGGGAGCTAGAATTTCAAATTAAACGCCAGTGGAAAATGAAGTACGTGGAAACAATACCAATAATAATGTCATCTACAGGGGTGATACCAAGAAGGCTGCTAGAAAACATCAAAGCGCTGGAACTGAGTGAAAACATTTACAAAATCATACAGAAAGGAGTTTTGCTGGCAACTGCCCGCATAGTAAGAAAATTTATGGGAAATGCAAGTACCTAGGGAGGTCACTATTGAGGCTTACCCCTTTGATGCTTGAAACGTCCGGGTTAAGCCACAACACCCCGATTAACGGGAGTAACAAAGCCCTACGGCTATAAAAAACAATGATAATAATAATAATGTTTGTTATTACAAAATACAGGTAAATATTAAATACTGTGCACAATAAACATAAAGTACCCAAAAAAGTTTGCACTTGTGTTTGGGTTTGTTAAGAATAAAAATGTCCGGAAAAATATCCAGACAATTATAACTAAAGTAAAAGTATGGATGTTAGTGTAAGTAAAATATTATTGATTCTGATAATGATTTTTCATATCTGCAATTTTGTGGATGGAGCACCTTGGTTGTTGTAAAATCCATTTTTTTAGTTCTTTTTTAAATGATCTATTTGATTTAATTACTTTTAATGACTCTGGTATGTTATAGAGTTTTGGTCCCAAGAAAAACAGAGATCGTTGAGTACTGGTTTTTGATGTTTGTGGAATACACATTGACTTTTGATTGAATCTTGTTCGGTAGTTATGAATGGTACGATTCAAGTTTTCGAATATTTAATATAATGTATTCGCCCTCAATAAAAATAAATGTGTCTGTAATCTAATAGGTGAGCCTCCACATATAGAGAATCACTTGAATAAGTAATCTCCCTATGGAGGATCAATTTTAGATATAACTTTTGGATTACATCAACCTTTTTGTAATTATTATTCATAACTCCCCCCCAAGGAATAATTCCGTAAAGTAATAGAGGATAAAAAAGAGCATAATAAAGATTATATAGATATTAATTGTCCAGAATATCTCTGAAGTGCCTGAATTTTGGAATAATACGTCTCAGTCTCGTCACAAGGTACTCTGTATGGGTATTCCATTTTAGGTTTTTGTCCAAGATCACGCCTAAGTATTTTATTTTATCGGCTGACTGAATCTCTTTGAGACCACTGCTTGTATGAACTCAATTAATTAATGTCATAGTTCTTTCCGAAAAAAAATTATAAATGATTTGAAATCATTTTCGATTGTGGCTTTTAGTGTATGCCACTGGTTACTTTCATAGAAAATAGCTGTATCATCCGCAAAACCGATAACTTTACCTATACTACTTATTTTGAACATATCGTTGATAAATAGTTTTAAAAAAAATTGGTCTTAATACTGAACTTTGAGGTATGCCGTACGATACGATATGGGGTTCACTAAATGTATTATTAATTTTGACGCACTGTGTTCGATTTGAAAAATAATTTTCCATTTACCTAAGTTTTTATTTTATTGCACGGAAATTTTTGTAAAGTTGTTAAAACCGATGAGTAATAGAGTCGAATGCCTTTGCCAAGTCAACAAAAACCCATGCAGTTGGTTTGCCAATATCGAGATTCGTGTATATTTTACTTGTTAATTACAATAGCATCTTGAGTAGATTTGCCTCCTTGAAAACCATATTGCTGTTCCGCTAGTAAGTTATATTTTTTTGCAAATTCGGTGAATCGTTTTTTTAACACTTTTTCAAATATTTTAGAAAAATTGGTTAAGATGGAAATTGATCGATAGTTGATGGATTTTTCTCTTTCTCCAGATTTAAATAATGCTTTTACCATAGAGTGCTTTAAACATGTAGGAATATTCGTTTATTCATACAAGAATTTATCAAATATGACAGTATGCCGCAGATGTTGGAATTTATCCTCTTGAGACCTTTAGACCTGGAGATTTTCTTAATTTTTATTTATTGATTATTGTCTTTATTTCATGCATATCGGTCGGTTCCAGATGCATATAATGAGTTATATAATATGGTCTTACTATAATTTAATTTTTCCGCATTTTTTATGTTTTCTGACAACCTTTTCCCGATTTTTGAAAAATATTCACAAAATTCATTTGCTATATCTACATCATTACTCACTAGTTCACCATTTTCTTTTTTAATTGTACTAATTTTGTTGTTTTGTTTTGATACCAACTAATTCGTACTAGACAGAAGAAGCATTTATACGATTTGTTTGTAAGCAAAATTAGGAAGTCAGGATGCAAGTTCGTACATTAATATCAAGTTGCCTTTGGAAACAAAAGTTTGTTTACTTACTTTACTGTTTAAATAAGAGAAAGTATCTACAAGTAGGTTTGGCGGGAAACCAAAGCTGAAATCTGGGGAATATTCCAGAATATCATGTCTGAATCTCCCAAAAAGTGGAGGATCACGTGCGTTTACTGCACAGCTGTCAGAGAATTGGTGAGAAGAGCAAAAAATCAGGTTGGAATGTCGCTAAGGAGACTGGCTCGTCAATTCAGATCTTCTAAGAGTACGATATCGTTGTAATTGAGGAGGAATGGGTCTTAAATATCGAAAGAGACTTAAGTGCCCCAAATACTCTCAAGCGCAACTCCTTCGTATAACAAGATGCGGCCTTCAGCTTGCCTATGGAAAAATCATCATTTTAAATGACGAAAAGTATTTCACTTTGAGTAATTCTGATATGAAGGCAAACGACGGTTTTTATACGGACAACGCAGAGGAATACCCTGTCAATATTAGATATCAACATAAAGCGAAATTTGCAGATAAAATCCTTGTCTCGTGCGCAATTTCTAACAGGGGTGTATCCCAACCTTTTGTGGGAAGAATGAGCGGTGAAGCTTTGAATAGTCAGAGATATATCAAAGAAATATTGGAATTCATGACAAACTCAGAGAAGTTGATCTGAATTCCGTCCAGAATCTCGTGAGGGACATTTGAAGAAAGTTGCGTCTGGTACGGCATAATAGGCCACTCCACATAATTCGATAGTATAGCTTAGTTAAGTGGTGAGTTGTAATTTATGATAACTAGTTAGTGTTTAAGCAAATTTTTTCATTAGAAAAAATCGGATAAATATTTTGTGCCAAAACTTTTAGGACATACGTTCTACATACAATCCCAGTGTTCGAGGAAGTTTAAGAAAACGGTTTAGGTACCTGTGTATTGCAAAAAGCTATTTAAACTATATTATAGTCATCAGTGTTGCAGAAGGTCATGTACCACAACATTAGTCTCTTATCTGGACACTTGTGAGGGAATTTTGATTAACTTAATTCTGTCATTGAGCACTCAGTGTCAGTCTAAGTTTTGTAAACATAAAATTGTATGCCTCACAACATTGAAAAAATCTCAGAGAATAACAAATTTTTAACGTTAATATAGCTAAACCTTCAAAATTTAAATTTATCCACTTTAAAGTTACATTTAAAAGTTCTTACGAAAGGTACTTTAGCGTTGTAACTATCGATCAAAATACTGACAAATCTTTTTAATGAAAGGCTTCACATGCGCTAGCTCGCTAACTTACGAACAGATATCCTAAGCCACATCTGCTGATGAGTAAGCATACTCAGCAAATACTATATAATAATAATAATAATAATAATAATAATAATAATAATAATAATAATAATAATAATAATAACGTGAATGGTCAAAAGTTACTACCACCTAATGACGCGCCTCTTAAAAAGACATCGAAACGTAGTGAGGAGCCATGGAAACTAAGACTCATGAAAGATATTGACTCATGTAGAGCTGAGGCGGATCTCATTTCAGAATACCAAGGAGGCAATAGGTCCCGAAAGGTGATCAAGAAAATTGCAGATATTAAACGGAAAATTAACGTACCCCCCAGCTGCGATATCGATAGCTCATTTTTAAACCTGCATAGAGATAAAATGAGACAAGAAGCCAAAATGAAAGGTGCCCGGCTCCAAAGATATAATGAGACCAGCAAGAGAAAGCAGCAAAATGCTTTGTTCGAGAGAAACCAAAACCAGTTCTACAGATCTATCATCTCAGAATCATCCTCGGAACCCAAAGGCATTAGAGATACGCAAAATTTTGTTAAATTTTGGAGTGATATTTGGTCCAAACCAAAGCCATCAGACCTTAATGCGCCTTGGATCAAAGAGGTAGTGAAGGCAGCTAAGGTAAACCCAATGAGCGTTGCAATATTCTCTCAAGATGACGTAAGTAGAGTGCTAAAAAATGCTGCTGATTGGAAAGCGCCGGGACCCGACAATATTCAGAACTTTTGGCTCAAGAAGTTCCTAAGCACACATGCTGCATTGGGTCGATCACTTTCTAAAGCAATCACCAACCCGGAGATATTACCTAACTTCTTGACGAAAGGAATAACACATCTTATATTCAAAAACGGCAATCCTGAGGATCCGAAAAACTATAGACCAATTACATGTCTCTCTGTGTTTTATAAACTACTAACAGCACTTTTGAATGACCAAATATATACTCACTGTGAAAGCAACAATATCATTGCTACAGAACAGAAGGGGTGTGTCCGTGGTTCTTTCGGATGCAAAGAGCAACTTATAATTGATTCCGTTATTACGAAGCATGCGTGTAAAAATAAGAGAAATCTCCATGTCTGCTACATCGACTACTCTAAGGCGTTTGATTCCGTGCCACATAATTGGCTTTTAAAGGTGCTGGATATGTATAAAGTAGACATCCGCATCATAAACCTATTGTCTCATCTGATGATGAACTGGGGAACCTCTTTAAGAGTTAATTCGGAGGA